ACTGAACCGAGACAACCAAGTCCCCAGAATTTAAAGACTGGCTAGCCAAAATAGCCGGGGCCGAAACAACAGATAGCAAAGGAACCTCCCTAGAAGGGCCCTCAACGCTATGACAACCATGTTTGGAAATCAAATTCAAACCAGTAGGAGTAAAAGGTTGAGCGTCGGAAGATAGAATAGCAACCGACTCAAAACCCTTAGCATTAGCATTTCCAGCCACCTCAGTTTCCACAGCCATTTCCACATTTCCTAAACCGGCCAAAAAAGGGGAAACAGACACATGCCTCACCACATGATCAGAGCAGAGAGGAGAGAGAGTAGCACAACCAATACCACCTAAACTAACAATGGCATTATTCACAGCCAAATTGGCACTATCCGAACTCAACACCACTGGGACAACAGGAGGTACAGCAGCAGGTAAGTTACTTTCCAAAGAAACAGGAGTTACCTCAGCCACAGACGGCACAACCACACGAGGCTGAAGAGAATGGCACTCAAGCTTAGAGTGACCCAGAGACTTGCAATGTGAACAATAAGAGGGAAAGGGATCCATAATAACCGATTGTATATAGCCTAAGCTCTCGGAACCCAACCAAATTTTGTCATGATACACCTTGGTAACATCCAATTCCACTAACACCCGAGCTATCGAAGGACACCGACCAGAGGAGGTAGCATGATCAATTTTTAATGGTTTTCCAAACATGGAGCCAAGACCAAATAGAATTCTTGGAGCAAAGAGATGTGGCCGAAGGTTAGGAAAAGAAACCCAGATAGGAATAGAAGGGGATTCAACATCTATGTCAAATGTATGAGTCCATTTGAAAATCTTCATAAAATAGTTATTCACGAAATAAGAGCGATGGGCAAACACGCGACAGTAATCCATGTCGTTTTCCAACTTAATCAGAATATGCTTAGAGTTAAGAACAGTGACAGAGAAAACACCATTAAGCTTGAGATTAAAAAAAAATTCGAATAGCTTCCAAAGACGGACGATGTGTCAGAAATTTACTGACCAGAGCAAACTCAAAAGAGGATGCAAGGGCCAGCACTTCCTCATCTTAAATCCACAGTGAAGGAAGGCCCCGGAAGGACGAAACCTTTAGATCAGGGAAAGATGAGTTCGAAGCAGATGAACCCGCTAGGGCATCACGAAAAGACTGAGAAGCAGACGAACCAGATAAAAAACCTGGATCCAAAAGCCTTTTACCCTCCATGACTAACAAAAACACCGAGCAAAAAATGAAGAAGAAGAAGAAATCTTCCCTGGAACGATCGGAGAGCCTCGCTGCGAAGGAAGAGACGCCGCCAAACTCGTAACCCTAGCAGAGCGAAAAAACATCGTGATTGATGCATTATCAAGTCATTTTTTATGACTATATCATAAGAAAGAGTTTCTCATATTCATACAACTAAGTATCATATCAAGGTGTTCTCATCTTCCTTTGATTCATCAACAAACTTTGTGCTAAGATTCTTTTCTTTGGTAATCTTGAGGCTAGGAAACTGCAACTCATTTCGTGGTCAAGCACTTGCCTTCCTAAAGACAAGGGAGGCCTCGGCTGACCCTCTTTCCAAGCCATACAATACAGTTATAATTTCTCCCTTATCTTCAGGCTGTACAACACAGCCTAGCTCCCCTTTTGCAAAATAATTAATTTACAGATATACATCCCCATGGTGTCCTACGTACCCAAGCTGCTATGCCATTCTGGATATCTATTTGCTCATCTGTTGTCTTAACTAGAGCTATGTTCCAATTTAAGATTTCTCCTACTAGTCCCATCTCCCTTTATTGGGATCCCTAGCTTCATGGGATTGTTATGTCTAAATTACCTGAATTCTAATTAATTCAGAATTTTTTTCCATCCAATGCCTGTATATCTGCAATACTTAATGGTCAGGGCTTGTTTTTACCTCCTGAATTCCCCACAGTCTTAGCTGATGCTATCTCGCAAATCATTGTGGATAATCATGGCTCCATATATATATATAAACTGGGATAATTTTGAAGACGGCGCTATTAAGAGGTTCTTAAATAATTTTTATGCTGATGATGAACCCTCCTCCTCTTGGTGCACTTTTGTTTAGCATAAGTTTCATGCTCTTCATTTCTCTACATATTATTGGCTGGCTATTAAGGGTGGTTTAAAAATCATAGATCGATGCTCTTTCAAAAAGAAACATTTCGGTTGACCATCTTTGCACTCTTTGTTATTCAGCCCCGAAAAGCACCCCTCATACATTCTTCGAATGCAATTTCTCCTTTATTATGATGAGTGTGTTAATTAGTTAAATCCTGGTGTTAAAGATCTTTTGTTTTGGCCAAGCATTCTTCCAATTTTCAAATTTATAAATGATGTGGGTACGTCTGTCAAAAATATGAAGATGATTTATTTGATCGTCACTAATGTTGCTATTTACTATTTGTGGAGGGAGAGAAATAATAAGATGTTTGGCTCCACTTTATCCTCTTCTACTTCTCGCTGTCATATTATTTGGTTGTTTTCCTTAAAATCTCAAAGTGGAAAAACAATGGCATACTGTTGGACATGCAAAAAATTAGTTGGGAGTTTTTCACCTTATTCTTCTTTTGCTGGGGTGGATCAACTAGAATGTATATTACTTCATTTACATATCTCTTTGAAGATTTCATATAAAGTTTGGTTGCATGTGTACTGTTGTTGGTTGATTCATTTACCATCGATGCTTTTTTGCTTCTACTGTTGGCTTGTTGATGTTCTTTGATCATCCAGTAGCTAGCCTGTCGAGAATTCATATACGTTCTTACTGGTTGCCTCATCACTTCTTACAAGATTATATGATGCCTCAAATGCTATTTGGGACCCATAGAGATTTGTTTTCCTGCTGCTTCATGCCCTGGACGATGATGAAAGCCCTGTTGTTTATAGGTCCGCCCCTTGGAAGGCCAACTGGAAACTAAGGGCTACGAGCTTATCTTTCTATGATCTAACTTTTGCTTATCAAACGCTTCATGAGTCTAGGCTTTCTTCCTTATTAGGGGTTTGGCTTTTCTGGTTTAAAATGTCCTTATGCTCCCTTCTTTTTTTGTCACAGAGAGTTTTTTGTGCATGCTCTTTTTCACAATTTTATTTTTTATTTTCTTAAGCGCCTTGAACCCTCCCACTTGTAATCCTATTTTACTTGTAATTTCTTTTCATTTTTATGAATGGGAAAATTAACTTTACCCAAAACAAAATAAAATATCATTCGTAGGCAGAGCTTTAGATAGGAATCATTGATGACTTGAGCTTTCAATGAACCATATCTGAGTTTTTTGCTTCAATTCCATCAGGTGATCATATTTAATTATCTATATGTTGAGGCAATGCAACAAAGTTGCCATTTTTGTGCTTATTTTAGTTTGGCTTGTTATTTTGCATGGAAAAAGGACCCCACAATGAAAATCTTCCTTTTTTAAAAAAATTTTGCTGAAGGAAGATATAGATAGTTTTGTGTACACTTAATATTGAATTTTTTGTTATCTTACACTTAATTGAATTTTTTGTTATGTTGTTAAAATAAATGCAACATGTACTTTCGGAAAAAAAAAAATAGCATACTTCACTAAAAATGATATTGTTGAGGGTTCATTGGAACTAATACAAAGCCACTTCGACCATCTAGTCAAGTTAGTTGGGTGTCTTGTAGTAATTATTACCCTATGGAGGAAACAAGTAATTAGCATTTTATTATTAGATTTTTTTTTTTTGTTATTTATAAGAGAAGTTGAGATCTTCATGATAAGATGAGAAACAAAAAAAAAATTAATAATATATGGTCTAGATATTCAAATATCTCTATAATAGTATGTGGGGCCTATTGAATGTAGTGCATCTTGGAAGGTTGGTTCCTTTTGGAAGGTTGGTTCCTTTTGGAAGCTCTAGTTTTTCAAATTTGTGTATAGAGTACCACTTGTCTAGTACTAGTAACTAAGTACACCTGAGCAATTAAGTAGTAGTGGGCATTTTGTCTAAGTTGATTACTCTCATAGGTTATAACTTGTTTCTTGAACAACTTGTGCGTGTTGATTGCTCTTCTATGACTCCTTGCAGATGATCTATTTCAAAGAGTTGGTTTGCTTAGTGACACCGGATCGGACAAGAAGGCGACATGGTGGCGAACAATAGCGAGAGATGTCAGAATCGGATAGCTCAAACAAAACCCAAGAACATGCTTCTTAGGAGGACAACACCATTTGAATAATTAGGATACATAACCCATAAACTGAACTAAATCTCAAATCTTATTCATCTTCCCCTCCTTTACAACACAACGACCTTTATTTATAGTAATTTGTAAAATACATAAAGGGACATAGTCTAAATGAAAACGAACAAGCCAAGTTATCTAATTATATGTAGCTAATACATGGACTGAAGTTTATGACAAAAAACCTAGCAATAGCTCCGCGCCTCCGCCATCAATTAGCTCATTTGTTTTTCTCTTTAAAACTGTATAACAACAAGATGTTTCTTTTAATTAAAAACATGCAAAAAATATAAATCAATTCTCTTCAAATAATTAAAAAACTATTTTTCTTCTAAGTCTTTACATAATCATCTTGATGAGCCGCTAGTTTTGACTAAGAGGATGCCAAATTAGAGATCAAATGTTTTCAAACCTAATTTTTTGAAATTTTAACTATATAATAAATTTCTTTTTAAGATTTTAAACGTATATCAAAAGATGAAATTCATGAACCAAATTCACAGGAAATATAAAGTCAAATATATGTATTAAACACGCATAAGTTAGTGAATTTGATTCATGATTTCTCCTTCAACAACATGGTAGCTATAAATACTTCCAACTCATGTCATTTGTTTACATATCCTCTACATGTCGCTATCATTCTAGTCCTCTTCTTCTTCTCCATCGATTCTTCCTTGTCCTCATATCCTCTCCTCTCCTCTCCTTTGACTTCAACACTCTATCCTTCTGCCCCCTTCCAATTACCAAACAACCCATCCATGGACAATAACAAACCCCCAGAATCCACCGCCAGTACCATTAACCCTTGTACCAGTGAGTCGCCGGCAAGCGGCACCGCCGTCTCCGACCCCATCCGATCACGATGGACGCCGAAACCCGAACAAATCCTTATACTGGAGTCCATCTTCAACAGCGGCATGGTTAACCCTCCTAGAGAAGAAACGGTCAGAATCCGAAAACTTCTTGAAAAGTTTGGCTCGGTTGGCGATGCCAACGTCTTCTACTGGTTCCAAAACCGTCGGTCGAGGTCTCGTCGTCGACAGAGGCAACTGCAGGCTAGTCTGGCTGCTACGACTAGCGGCGCACAAGCTGGTGTTGCAACTTCCGCATCTTGCTCGTCATCGAGCTTAGATGCTTCGTCGTTGGCATCTTCATTTGGTTCTTCATCATCATCTTCTTCTTCTTCCTCCTCGGCGTCGGTTGGTTCAGTTTGGTGTGAAAGTGCTGATGATCTCTTCTCCATTTCACAACAAATGGGTTTTGGGGATAGTACTTCACCTTCCATGAGGTTCTATGAGCATCAACCTGGTAGGTGATAGTTTTCTTGTGATAGAGGATTTGTGAATACAAATTAAATAATAAAATTAGCTGTTTTAAGGGATTTAGATAATTTATTTTACTTAACTGATCATGAGCACACTTTAACTTTTACTTGTTTGATACTTAGAAGTAAAAGCTGATTTTGCAACTTATTCCCAACCCTCCTTTATCAGATTCTGTATCTTTAAAATTAAACCAAGTATATTAGATTTTTTTTTTAATCTGTTTTTTGTTCAGTTCTCCTCCTCGGCTTGTTTTTTGGTCCTTCGTTGATGATTGAAGTTATCTTTTTGAATGAGTACAAATTTTCTCACCTAAAAGGCTGCAACTAACCACCATTTGTTGACTATATTGAAAGAGAGAGAAAGAGAGAGAGAGAGAGAGAGGTTTTTCAAATTTTATGTTGTGAAGATTCTTATATAACATTATCTTTAGCATACTTTTGATACAAAAAAATATATTATATCAAAATATTGTCTGTTTAACCACATAAAAACAATACCAGGCGAAGCCATTTTGTAAAGAATCTTAACAAATTTCATCAGCAAACTTATATGAACTTGATGAAGATGACGACAAAACTTTGCATGATTTTTTGCAACACTAAACTCACCACACAAAATTACAATGCAGGCACTGTAAATGTTTTCATTAATGGGATACTTACAGAGGTTCCAAGAGGACCAATTGACATGAGAAGTATGTTCGGCCATGATTTGCTAATGGTACATTCATCTGGGGAGGTTCTTCCAGTTAATGAGTATGGGGTTCTATTGCAAAGCTTACAGATGGGTGAAAGTTATTACTTGGTATGATTTCTTCACACAATATCATTATATTCTGTTATTCATATCATAAAATCAACCCATTTTCATGAACATAAATGAACAAAATCAACAGATAGAAATGTGATGAACTAACATATTACTTTCATATCATACAATTTCATCCAAGATAAATGGTTCAAATTTCAACTTAGGCTTTGTTTGGGACGACTTTCTTGTTGATTCTTAAAACAGCTTTCTAGTATAAAAAATTTAATTTTTGTACTAAAAAACTGCTTTAAGAAGCAACAATAAAGTCATCCCGAAAGAAGCCTTAATTTCACTGATTTTTATTTGGAATTCACTCAAAATGTTTTGAACAAAAGAAATTAATATTAGTTTAACTAGAGATGAGATGTTGAAAATAAACTCAATTTTAACATATAAAAAAAAGGCTTGGATGTTTTTTTTGTAAATCTTCCTCTCCCTATATAATTATATAGAGGAAGCTAACTACTCATAATGACTAACTTGTTTTGTCTACAGATTGCTAGGCCTAATTAACTATAATGTATTGAGAAAAGGGAGCAAGCCTCAATATTTCCTTAAAGAAATGGGTATGATGAGCTGGTGATGATTAAACTATGTGAAGATTACAATTAGCTGCAGTGCTTAATTGAAAGCAAGAGAGGAGCACAAATGTCTTCCCAATATGTCATGATATGTGCACATGCAGAGCTACAGATTATGTAATTTTAATATGATTGTATTCAGCTCATGATGATGATATATAAACGAGTATGAAATGGTGTGTTTGGCTAGACAAAAAAATGTTCTTTATTATGGAATATTTCTTGTGCATATGTAATATGCTACATTTTAAAATTGAAGCCGTTGTAACCACTGAAATTAGTTGGATCTGTTGTTAATGTGGCATGATATCATCCATTTGAGAAGCCTTTTGTAGGTATTAGTATTAATATGATAGATAAGAAATGTGATTATGTAAAAATATTGATGATTGTTTTATTAGTTTAATGATTGATATATTTGATGTAGGTTTGATCATTTGGTAATTCATGTTTGACAACAAAAACATCAAAACAATATAAGAAATATATGCATGATGAACTTTTTGAAGCAAGAGGTTGTTTGGTTGTCTGAAAAAGAAATGTAATGTAAAAGAAATGTAATATAAAAGAATACTATAGAGTTTTTTGAATTAATGTAAAATAAATACATGAGATTTTTTTTGTTCGGATTGAGATAAAATGAGTACAATGTACAGTCTAAAGAGGATAGTGTTCGATGGTGGTGGGTGGCGGACCACAAAATAGTACTTGAGATTATTTTTTATTAATTATTGTTGACTTTGTATGATTATGTATATTACTTATGAACGTGGAGGTATTGCATACACGTTTACAGTTTTTTTTTTTAAATAAAAAAGCAATTGAATAGTTTGTTTAAGTCAGACAAGAATTAATGATTATGGAGTGGAAGTTAAAAGAGTATGATTAATATCAAAATTAGGTCTGAATATTAAAAGTTTAGCTTAGTATTAAGAAGTTTGTTTGATTGTCTAGTTGTGCGGAGGAATAATTATATATTTTTTCCAGTGAAAATTGTATCATTATTTGTGATATTTCTTATTATTTTGTCAAAATGTTCCGTCGGTATGTCAATACAAAAATCATTTTATAGACTTCCGACAAAAATTCATCGGAAATCTACTGAAAACCTATATCACAGATAAAAAAACCAATCCTCTCAAATATTTTACATTATAGTTCAAAACTAATAGTCAACAATTAAAACATTGTAATAGTTCTACAAATATCAAATAGTTCTACAAATATAAAAATGTTTTGAAACACTGCAATAATTATACATTATCGTACAGTTCCTATACATTAAAAAATCAATAAAATATTTACAATCACAAACAATCTATACTCTGAATCCGTACCCTCACTCTACTCGATGATGCAACTATTTTCCGCTAAACTGCTCCCTAATTCTCTGAAGTTCCTCCATTACCTAACTTTGTTACATTTGCATGTTTGCTTGTAATTTTCAAACTTATTCTAGTTCTGCTGTTAGCTAGGGCATCCATCTGTTGGTTAACCAAGCCCTCCTAGATGTCTGCTGAGAAGCTTGAGGAACAAGAGGACTATCCCTCAAATGCATAAACATGCAAGCTTAATTCATTAACCAGTGGTGTCAACATCTGACCCGACCTAAAACACAACTTGGACCCGCCCAAAAAATCCTAGGTTCGGGTCAACCCGTTTTCAATACGGGTCAGGTTATGGTTCAGTAATCCAACCTATTTTTACAATTGGGTTAGCTTTGGGTTGACCTAGAAACCCGACGCTGATTTGATTATAACCAGCATCTTTTTTAGTTTAGGGTTTTAATGAAATATTGGTTTGCGTGTGGCGTACTACTCAGCTATTCTCCATTTCGACATTTCTGATTTCTCTTGTCTCGACTCTCAACTCGCATTCTAGGCTTCTGTCATTCTCTCTTCTTCTCTTCTCGAGCTCATCTATTCTCAAATCTCGACCTCGTATGTATTGTTTCTCTTATCAATGCCTACAGTCTCGGAGCTGCACCATCCAGGCCAAACCAATTTTTTATTTATTTGTATCTCTTTGCATATTTAATATTTTAGGGTTATGCCTATTTTGTGTTAATGATTTTGGAAGTTATTGGGATTCGTTGATTCAAGTTCTTTCACAGCTTCATGTCATGCATTAAGATTTAGAGATTTAGGGTTTTTCAAATTAAGGTTTTTTTTTTTACCAATTTTACTGTTCATACTTCATGTTATGCTCGTAGGAGGAAATCTTTTGGATTGTCTCATATTATGTTGTTTAGACTTTAGGGTAAATAGTGAATGATTCTCCGACTCTCTGTTGTCTATCTGTGCTCATCTGTGTTGATGGCTGATTATGATTAGTGAGAGATATTGTAATATTGTGTACTTGTTGTACTGTTGTTGTTGCAATTCTGATTGCTAAAAATTGAAAGGGAACAACTGAACAGGTAAATGCATGGATTCTTTTAGGATAAACCATAAATGCAACTTGTTGTTGTGGTTACTGGAGCCGGTTGTTGTTGTTGTTATGATTGGTGGGTTCGGGTAAATGCAAGTATGCAACCAGTTGTTGTGGTTGTTGGAACCGATTGTTGTTGTTGTTGTTGTTGTTTTTATTGGGTTCGGGTAAATGCAAATATGCAACAAGTTGTTGTGGTTGATGTTCTAGCTATTGTTGTTGTTGTTGTCGGTATCTTTATTTTGATGATTCTTGTTAGAGCAATGATGAGAAACCTCCTTAAGTAATGCTATGGATTCTTTTGGAGTAAATACAACCATGTGATTTTGTGTTCTCTTAGAATATAAATGTAATTAAATAGATACTACTATCTAAGATAACACAAAATGCCATCTTGGATGTTACGCCCTAAATATTCTTCACTCATTTATATTTTATTGAGCTTAGTACTTGATTACTGATTTGGAGGTTTAACTTGAGCTCTAGTTTACATTACATTTATAATGTTTCAACATTTGGAATTTGCCATTTTTTTTAGGCTTATAAATATTTAATTGTTTTAATTTTTTTCCTCTTTTTGTAGTTTTGCAGATGGATCTCAATATCTCATCTCAAGTTCTCCAATATCAACAACATTAGTTAGAGACTTAGAGGGGGTGCAAATTAGATTAAATAGAATTTGTGTTTATAAAAATAATATAAATGTAATTTGTATTTTTTATTTGCATAACAATTTAAATCAGTAAATTTACTGTACATTTTTAGTATTTTGTTAGTATTTTATTAATATTCAAACAAATTAAATTATTATTAGTATTTTGTTAATCTAATTGGTTATTTGTGTTCATTTTGTCATTTAATTTATAGTTGCCCAAAGCCTCAAGTAAACAAATAATTATTTTTAATTGATTAAATAAATAATTGAGAACAAACAAATAAATAAATAATTATGATGAGGATGTATTTCAGTTTATTGGATTTTATATTTTTAATTAAATGACTTAAAATCTTAAATAACTCTAAAATAAAAAATCGCAAAAATTGAGAGTAAATTGGATTAGCAGGTCAATTCATGTTGACCGAAACCCAAATCAGATTGGGTTCGGGTTCAGATTCCCAACCCGTTTCTATAGCCGAGTTGGGTTTGGGTCAGGTCAACTAAGAGTATGTCAAGTTTGGGTTGGACCCGAACTCGATCCGATGACCTGTTTTGACATCCCAATCATAAATTCTTCTCTTCTGCATTCAGACACCTCAACCTACCGCCTGTGATCATATGCGGTAGTCAGAATAATCTTGAGTGATCCTTGATCAATCTAATTAACCTATATAAATATGAATGTGCATTTGATACGGATCACACTACTGTAATGGCAATCATAATATTATTCTCAAATGAACCTCTAAGAGAAGAAACCTTTGAGAATATGTATAAGTTTCTATTGCATACTTCATTGACTCCTCCATAGATGGATGCTTTAAATAATAAAGTCTTCATAGAATATTTACTGTCAAAAAATGAAAGCGTTTAAGAGAAATTTCAAATAAGATGGCCAATTCTCACAATTAAGAGAACTTTGAATGTAATTTTAATATAATAAAAATAGAAAATAATGTTAGTGATCCTCCGACAATCGTTTTATTTTCTAAATTGAAGAATAGAGATATTTGCACTTTCCATATCTTGAATCAGAACAATTATTACGTCCTCCGACCGGACGTAGAGGAACGTCCGGTCGGAGGCCAAATCGCGCCAAAAAATTAGAAATACCGAGCAATACTAAACAATAACGAGGAATACCATCACGTGAAAACCCAATACCGAGTTATACCGAGCAATATCGAGTTATACAAAAGTTGTACCGAGTTTTTTTTAGGGAAAAACTCGGTACAACTCGGTATTGCTCGGTATTACTCGGTATACCTCAGTATTGGTCTTCACAGAGCGGTATTCCTTGTTATTATCAAATAATACCTAGCAATACCGAGCAAATACCGAGTTTTTTTGCGGGATTTTGCCTCCGACCGGACGTTCCTCTACGTCCTTACACCGGACCTAATAAAAGTATAGTTCACACATCTATTTAGTTCCAAAAAGAAAAAATACTTTAAAATATTTTCTTCAAAAGTAGGTAAGGAAAAAAAAGATTAAAGGTTACAAGCAAAAATATGTGAACTAGTAGGTTGAAGACCCAACGACAAGAGGCCTTTAGTGTTTTACAACGTCAACAGGACTTTTAAGTAGGGGTGTCAATTTCGGGTCACGGGTCGGGTTCGGGTCAAATTTGAAACTGACTCGGTACTATTCGGGTCAACGTAAACCTGACCCGTTTTTGTATATGGGTCGGTTTTGAGGACCAGACCCGAACCGCTTTGGATTCGAAGCGGCACGCCGAGTCACGCTTTGGCGTTTGGCAACAACAGTGGGCGCGGCGGACTCGACTGTGGGACGCGCGCAGACTTGGCGGACCTCGGGATGCGCGGTAGACTCGGGGAACTCGACCGCGGGACATGTGGCGGACTCGACCGCGAGACACGCTGTATACTCGACGGACTTGACCGCGGGACGCAGGTTCGCGGGACCGTGCTTGGGGCTGGATCGCGTCACGCGACTGGGCAGAATGACGTGGGCAGAGCGGGCAGCCGGGTCATTTCCGGGTTCCCTGGTCAACCCGAACCCGACCCGTTTTTTGAAACGGGTTGAAAACTTGAACCCGAACCCGACCCGCTTCGGGTTCGGGTCAACACGAACCCAAAATTTTCGGGTCGGGTCCAATATTGACACTCCTACTTTTAAGATATTTCAAATGTTGTAGACCAACTGAATAAAACCAAGATGTGCTTGTAAACATAAATAAAGTATATTGAGTGATCCTCTAAGTTTCTATGATTTTAATTTGCCAAAATCTTTGAACTCTGAATTAATTAAAATTCATGAGGTTGTAGAAATATTTTTGGACCCAAAAATTTGGAATCTTAAACAAATTTAAAATCATGAGGATGTGGATTTACTTCCAATGAAACATGGATCCATCATCAGTTTCTACACGGTTCTCTCTTCAAAGTCTTAAGCTCTTAAAAAAAAGAAACAACTACTACATAAAATGCTCATGATCCACCACCGAAAAAAGTTATAGCCATTTCAAATCTAAATCCAAAGTGACCCATCATTCACCATTTTAAGTATGCTAACACCCCCAAAACATATGTTGTACTAACAAACCATAAGATATCAAGAGGGTTGTAATGATTTTTAGTTAATATGTGAGAGTGTAATTGAGTTTATGGTGTGATTGTGTGGTTTTGAGGCGTATGAAGAAAACAATGCCAAGATTACTTCAATTCAATATAAGTTAGATCGCTTTAGAGAAACTTACCACAAAAACTAAAAACCAACAGAGTCTCACCGAGAAGATCGAGCGGAGGAATGCAATGCGAATGAACGAACGGAGTAATGATCTCGGTCGAGCTATGACTAACGACAATGATCTTGATAGAACTATGATGAATGACAATGATGTTGATGGAGGCCAAGGAATCACAACACTAGTTTGGGGGACGGAGGGATACCAATTGGGGTCAGTTTCGCCTAAGAATAGATTGGAAGACCTATTTTGCATGAAATGGCGAATCAATGGACAAAACAATGAAAATAGGGGCTTAATAGGTAGAAATCTCCGCTGGAATTTCCATCTATGAAAACCAACGGCTATACTGCCTGTGATGATCAATATTCCGCCGAAAAATCCATTGAAAATAGCAAGATTTCCTTTAATGATTGCATATATCAGCTTTGGTTGAAGGAAGATGTAAATAGTCAAGTGATTACAATTAGTGATGTTGTTTGATAGAAGATGACGATGGTCATCGATTTCGGCCGATAAGTCAACCCTGAGAAAATGATTATGATCGCTGGATAGCCTTGATCAGTGGGCAAAGCTATAGAAATCTTCAAATTTGAAAACCTTATGCTTTGCAAACCCCTTCAAGTGTGAAAAGAACTATTTATAGATTTTTTCCTAAAATTTTGAATTGTTTTGTAAAATTTCCTCTAAAAAGAACTTAAAAATTGATGCTTTTTTAGTATTTAAGTATCTTATTGACACCTAAATTAGATGATCTTGGACTCATATATTCATCTCATTGAGATGCATATTTTAACTATAAATTCACTAAAAATGGAGTTCATACAATCCCAAATTTACTTATTTAAGTTTTTTAATTCAAATGCTTATTTCAAGATCCATACTTAATCTCATGAATTTTTTTAATAACGTACTAAATATCTCAAGCCCATAGTGATAAACATAATAATTCCTTACCATCAGCCTTGCTTTATAAAATATAATAAAAAATAGCATCATAGTAAGATTTAAAACTTATTTTTAGGAAAAATTAGGATCAAATATTTGTAGGAAAAATTCTAACCCAAATCTAAACTAAAACTTATATATGGATCAAATATTAACAACTACTAATCTATGATCAACCCATTAGCTACATCTTTAACCTCCTCTACACAAAGTTGAATGAAAGAGAGAACGAGTGATGTCTTACTTTCAAAGTTTTTTTGTCATTTTATAAAGTAAAATGATGTATTAGATATAAAGGATTATTTTTTATTTTTTTTTTAATTTTTTTTTTGTAAGATATTGAGCTTAGGAGCCACCAATTTAAAAAATCAGAATAAAATATTAACCAAAAAATTAAGATCAATTTGACTGACAAAAAAAATAAACACCACTTAATTCATTATTTTTGCAGATCTAATTTTTGTTCACTCCAACTTGCACATGCAATCATTTATAAATGACGCCGGAGCTGAGCCGCTAATTGTATTAACTTCAGGATAGTTTCATTCCAGTTGGTAGTTGTATGGCTACATAGGATTACTTCTTGTTTATGTTTGGTATAGCCTATTATATTGCCACTATTGTCTATAAATAGGTAGACATTGATTGTATTAGGAGATTTAGAAGATGAATAATATTTGAGTAGTTTTACTCTTTTTGGGTTTCTGTATCCTAAAGGATTTCATGTGGTGATCCCTCTCCCAATGAGTTCTTGGTCACGGTTACCGGATTGTCGACGTGGATTCATTGAGCCCCCTCCGATCCGGTGTCAATAAAGCTAAGTAAATTCATATAATTCATGATCCAAAGAGTGCATTTAGACACTTTAGAACAATCTTTTCGCAGCTTTATTTTTGAAATAAATACAATATTTCTAGTTGACCATACTTTTATAATTTTTTCAAAAAGTTTTATTAAAAAACTTACTTATTATAATCAAATTTATTTGTGTAGTTATTAGAAAATTGTAGCAGATAAAAAAAAATCTATAATACTTCCAACTCTAAAAAATATTTAAATTTTTCATTACAATTCTAAAACTAATATTACAATTCATTTGATTCAACTACTGCTCTACATCTGCCTGTAAAAATAGTTTTGATATTTTATAGAAAAATAGATTTTCCTAAAACTGTATTGTAAATCTTTTTTCCTTTCATAAAAAATCAGTACAATAATTTCTTTATAATTCTACTCTTAACAGATCTGATTGTACAAAAACATTTGTACCAAAATACTACTTTAAGAAGCAGTAATAAAACAATTCCAAACAAAGCCTAAGAAAGAGATAGACTTTAACTGGATTAAAGTGAAAATATTTGGAGTGCACAAATAAATCTTTGCAGTTCATCTCTGAACTAAAGAATTTATCTCTATGTGATCATCAATATAATTGAAATTCATTAAATCATATAAATCTGTGTGTCCTACTTTTATGATGAATTCTTTGCAAATAATAATAATTATTATTGCTCTGAACAAGAATTTCTCACAACATTGTCATCCCATTCCAGGACGTGGCAGTCAACAAATAACTATGTTTGATATAAAAGCTATAACTTACAATTTTTTTTAATATTTACAGCACAATCACAGAGATCATATCAAGCCTTATATTCGATGCAGCTTTGGTGGAATGAACTAACAGTCTCTACAATAATCTCTCTGTGAAATCATCAGCATCCATAATAACAAAAGAAACGCTCTGCCTTATTGGAGCTGCAAGACTGAAAGCTCTCAAACTACTAGCAACTTACGTAGTGGTCTCCTGAAATGATTGAGAACGAGAAAAGGCTGCTGGATTGGCATGCAGAAGTTGTGCGGCATCTGCAGCTTCCCCCTTCTGAGATTTGGATGGGAAAGCTTTGAACAAACAACCTTCATCAAGTTTAATTCCAAGAGTAGCAAAAATTGAACTCTTTGCAGCCTCATCTATATCATCAATCCTCAGAGTTTTAGGAACCCATAAGGACTTCTCTGTGTTCTCCTCACCAATCGAAGTGGCATCCCTACAATGCTTACCCAAGGTTGGAGACCCATTGCCTGAACAGTTGCTGTTGCTTGTAGATGATGATGGCGACAATCTATTGTTGTTTCCTACCAAAGGTAGATTCCAAGGTCCACCAGTCCAGCTAGGTATGCAACTCCAAAAGGAAGTAGGTACTAATGGAAATGGAAATGTAGGAGCACAGAAAGGAGGAGCAGTCACCATTGGTGGTCGACTCCATGAGATCGGTGTAGGAATACCATTTTCTTGTCTCGGTAGAGGCTCCGGCGAGCGCCCCGCTGCTGCCATGGCGGCAGCAGCAGCAATGTTGCTCCATCCTGGATTCCAGGCATAAGCCCAAGGAGACACCGGGTAACATTGCAAGTGATGCAATGGTGCGAGTCCATTTTGATATCCATGCAAGGCTTTTTGTTCTGCATCTTCAGGGAAACCATTTTCTGCATGTTTAGAAACTTTAGCAGATGATGAACATGAGGGCTCCTCTTTATTTTCCCGATGAGTTGTGAAGCCCAACTCAGAAGCTCTCTTCTGGTCTCCAAGTTTGAGCACAGAGGTCATAGACTCGCAAAGCGGAGCTTCTGGTCCAAATTTTAGAACAGTGCCATTACACTTTAAGGGTAACCTCGTAGTGGTACTAGAGCCACAAGGAGAAGCTTCATGATGGCTTAGATCAGAACCATCTACTTGAACTGATGCCAATGCATCTGGCATAACCACCGTATGCCGGTAGGTTGAGGAAGAATGCTTATTTTTACGCCTTCCAGCACCCACAGGGACATTCCTCATTGTTCCTCCAGCAGTCCAATATCTTTGGCAGTTCTTACAAAAGTGCCTTGGTTGGTTAACATTGTAATTGTTATAATAACAGAACTTGGTGTCCATACTGTTGCAGCGTGGACATTGAAGAACCTTATCAGGCTTCTTCAGAACTTTATCTTCACCTGAAGTTCCACTCTCTTTGTTATCCTGTTCAGACTTTGGCTCTTCAGCATCTTTTGCAATCTCAGTTGCAGTTTTCTGGTTTTCTTCAATACCATGGCACAAGCCAGAAGAGCTGAGTGATTCATTTTGGTCCAAATTCTCTGGGGCATCCAACATTGCATCAACCTTAGTGTTTGCTTTTTCTTTGCATGTATCCTAAGAACAAAAAAATAACAATCAGTTCAGCAGCATATTGCATGTATATCATTTGTACTTAACTGGTTAAATTGATTTCAGAATAATTTTCATAAGCATGAAATCACGGTATTCATGCAAGCTACCATTGATACGGTTCCAGCACTAAATAAGACTTGCGTTCTATTTTTATTCCTACCATGCTTTACTATATGCAACATTGGGGTGTTGGACAGCACTGCAAACCTAATTTCTCCAACTCCAACAAGAGGGGTCAATCACAAGATTAAACATGTGCAGAACACTAACTTGATTTCTAATTGTATCAAAGACAACTTTTTTTAGAGCAAATCTATCTAGAAAAGAAATCTACTATATATTGAAAGTAGTAAGCCGACATATTAACGTCTAATTTTTCATTTTTATTATTACTGCTAATATTGCCACAGCAATTCTTTGAAGATGGATATTAATGCCATCAATCACATTCAAAATATAAACAGACAACTAGACAAGGAACACATGCTCTAACTACGAGCTTAAAGTCTTCCAGAAGGTTCATGTTTTTACTGCTCTCAAAATATTACTGTACAAGGTATGTATACAATAACTAAGAGCATAAAAGGAAAACTTCTCAACCGTTCATTTTTTTAAGACTAACCTAAAATGAGATGGATTTTATTGTGCTAAATAAAGTAGCTTACAATCCTTACAAAATTACATCTCTTGAAAAGAAAACTTCTAGCAAACCCTATTAAAACAAAAATTTTCCATCTCCCGCATGACTGACATTACAGTATTGATGGCTAAAAATGTCATGCCCTCCAAAAAAGAGAGCCAAATGCAAGCAAACTTACATCTACAACTCACTACAATGTGTTCTATAGCTTTGAAGCATTTTAATTCATATATATAGCTTGCAAAAATTAAAAAAAAAAAGGTTTATATTTACTCTAAAAAAGGGATCTCGTATGATTTTTCTCCTTAAATCTCAACTTTTGTCCAATAGATATTTCAGTATCAGCCTTATCCAGACTATTTGGGTCGATCTCACGAGTTTTCTTTACTTCATTTTGTTTAGTACTATATGTGAATGTAACTCCATATTAGGTAAATTTCATTTCACAATTACTAGCCATTTTGATTTTGCTCGATCACCTTTTATCCTATACCTTTTATTATTATTGAAAACCTATACGGGTGTGAATCAACACTTGCCTGTAGTCAACTGGTCAAAAGTCAAAACTAAGGAACTCCATCAAAAGATCATATATTCTATACAGTTCATGGCAAACTAAAGAGAATTTTACCTCTTGTTTATTTAATTAAAAGCATTTTGTTAGTTTCTGCAACTTCATTTTGATACCCACATGAGATTCGTGGTTTTTTAAAAATTATTGAGATTGATCACCGTTCACTCCCAAATGTCTTTAAATTTTCAATAGCAAACTTCATGATGTGACGTCAAACCTATATATATATATATATATATATACACACACACTCTTTGAGTGGCTAATATTTGAAGTGGATTTCTACTTTTTAAATATGACATTAACTTCAAAAAAGAGGATGATCTACTTTATAAATCAACAATTCAAATGGGTTAATGAATTATAATGTATAAGAATTGTTGCTCATATCCTTCTGAAAGGTCAATAAATCACACCCTCACGAGTCATTGAAGCCACCAACATGAGCCCGACTCAGTGACACGAGCACTTGTATGTCCAACAAGGATAAGAGACCCTTATTGCCATTAGATTTGATAAAAGGTCACCATGCCAATTTAGATATTTTTCCAAGCCACCCCTACTGATTTTGTTATAAGCCCCTCCATACTTTTTCCAAGCCACCCCTACCGCTTTTGTTGTGAGCCTGATCCGATAGGGGGCCCCACAACCAGGAAGGGGAGTTGTTTAGGAGGTTCCTAATCAAGAGAGAGTTGTTGGGAAAGTTCCTAATTAAGGGAAATTATTTAGGAAGGTTCATAATCAAGGCGGGATTGTTTAGGAAAGTTTCCTAATTGTATTTATGCTATTTAAGAAGTATTTAATTGTTTAGAAAGGTTTCCTAAAATATGTTTAATTGTTTAGAAAGGTTTTCTAAATCATGTTTAATTGTTTAGGAAGATTTACTAAATCATATTTAATTATTCAGAAAGGTTTCCTAAATCATGTTTAATTATTTAGGAATGTTTCCTAAATTATATTTATGTTGATTATGAAGATTCTATTAATTTATAAAGGTATCCTAAATTATGTTTATGCTGATTATGAAGGTTCTAATAGTGTTATTGTGTTCTAGGCTATTTAAGGGATGTATGTTTATGATTTAGGGTAGGTTATTGCTGAGTTTTATGTTTTGCTATAGTTCTTTTCTTTGAGGGATACCTACCGGCGTCTTGGTTATTTGGGAGAGTCGATCTACCTCTCTAACAGTAGATCACATGTATCTTGTATTTTCCTTCATATATAATCCAATAAAAAGTGTTTTGGAGTGTTCTTCATCGTTTACTTGTTACTAATTTTTGTTTTGCTGAAATTGAATATTCAACCGGGTTTTCTTCAAGTTCTACATCTATGTCGTATCAAATTGGTATCAGAGCGAGATTTTGGAGAGATGACCATCAAAGAGGGTAGATGCGTTGGAAGCAAAAATGATGCAATTCAAATCCAGCATGAAAGAAAAATTTTTAACCATGGAAGGAAGGTTTTCATCCATAGAAGGAAGGTTTTCATTCATGAAAAACCGATTGAGAATGATGGAGGAGATGATGAGGAAACTCTTGGAGATGCAATCAAAAATTTCATTGGTGGTTCCAATGGCTAACTCTAATCAAGAATTGACTAGGATTCCCATGGCTAAATCGAAGGGAAAGAAGATCGGACAGGGGTTCAATGAGAAGAGTTTCTTCCATCAAGAGCGATCTCCTAGGGCTCCGATAAAGGGTGGATCAAGGTTTCCGGAAGGGGGGGACAGCAAGGAGGGAATTTTGTGGTAGAGGTGGTGAGATGGCCAACCATTATGGAAGGCTTTCGGGCAAGAGTGGGTGATCGAAGATGGAGGGGGTCAAACTAAACCATGGGATCAGGTCATGCAAGAATAGATGGAAGAAAGGCGGGATTTCCAACCTCGATATACAAAAGAAACATGGAGGGATCACGACGACCATTACACTGAAGGTGGAAGAAACTATTGGGGCTGTGGCTATCCTCGGGTGGCAATCCTAGGGTCACTGCATCCTAGTCTTGATGTGAAACAAGCAGAATATTTTGCAGCAAGAGCTGCACCTATTCATCCTGGTTCTCAAGAATTTAGAACATATGGTGGAAGAATGGATGTAAACCCACATATTTTACCCATTCCTAGATAGTTCATGACTTTTATGCAATCCAAAGATACTAGAGAGCTCTTTTACAGCTTCCATCAATATGATGTCCCAATTGAGTTTGTTATGCATAAGTGCGTCATACATTTTATTCCCCTTAACAAAAAGCTGTCAATTCTTTCTCAACATAATGGATTTATTGTTCACAAGGTACTTATCAAGTGGAAGGATTTGTCGGAGCATGAAACCATATGGAAACCTTTTACGAGCTAATCAGAAGATAGTTCACATCCATCCACCTTGAGAACAATGTGCATTTTTTGGGAAGGGAGTACTAATACGTTGGGCAGGCCAACAGCCAGGAAGGAAGAGCTGTTTAGAAAAGTTCCTAATCAAGAGCGAGTTGTGTTTAGGAAAGTTCCTAATAAAGGAAAATCATTTAGAAATTTTCTAATCAAGGGAGAGTTGTTTAGGACAATTTCTAAATTGCATTTATGCTATTTAGGAACTGCTTAATTGTTTAAGAATGTTTCCTAAAATATTTTTAATTATTTAGAAAGGTTTCCTAAAATATTCTATTATATATATATATATATATATTCATATTTTAGTTATTTAAGGTTTACTCAATTATGTTTATGCTGATTATGAAGGTTTTAATTGTATTATTGTGCTCTAGGGCTATTTAAGGGGGAGTTTGTCTATGGTTTAGGGTAGGCAATTGCTGAGTTTTATGTTTTGTTGCAGTTCTTTTCTTTGAGGGCTTCCTAGCGGCATCTAGTTTGTTTGGGAGAGCCAATCTACCTCTTTAATTGTAGATCACATATATTTTGTCTTTTCCTTTGTATATAATCCAATAAAAAGTGTTATGGAGTGTTATTCTTCATCGTTTACTTGTTACCAATTTCTGTGTTGTTGGAATTGAATATTCAGCCAAGATTTTCTTCAAGTTCTGCATCTACGTCGTATCAAAGCCCCTCCCTATTGTTTCATACAGTTGCTCTGCTGAAATTCTCTAATGGTTACAACGAATGTGACAGCATGATAACTGCCACCTTCACCTCCATACGTGTGATAGCTTGGGAGGAGCACCAAATGGCTGAATCAACTAATTTTGGTTTTAGGCCAAAGATGGATAGTAAACTTTTGCAAAATTTAACATGGATGGCCAAGGGTTCTAACATCACATGCATACAAATTGCTTAGGAAAGATAACTCCTAATCCCTTGTGTGTGGGAGTTGTATCGAGTGTTTTTTCACCAAAGAATATTGGATATATTGTTGACCAAAAATTACCTAATGTTGTGTTAGATTTTATTTAGATTTGATCTCCAAGGCATTTTATCCATGTAAACCTTCATGGTTAATTACGCTCCCACCTAAGAGAGCACATTCAATTAAGTAGGTCAATTGACTAAACAATTTAAAGGCTGATTAGGTTGCGCTGCTTGGGAACTCGCGTGAGTAAGCAATGTTTATTCTTATCAAATTCTCATCGTTCCTACAAGAGCTTCCTAAGGACTGGAGGTTAAAGGTATTATTATTAAATGAATGAGCGTTAATTCACTCAAGAAATTTTGGAAACATGGTACCCTGGCTCTAGGCTGACAGCCATGACTCAAGTCCTACCAGTCTGTGTGAAGCATTAGCTATAGTGGGTCAGGTTTAGCTTACTAGAAGCGTTTGTGCC